TGTATAGATGTGCTCTACACAATTGATCTATGTATTGTGATGAATTTTATGAGCCCCAATAAATTGATTAAAAAAAAAAAAGCCCCATCTTCCTCCCTCGGAGCAGCTGCTGGTTTCTGACTGCCCACTCTGTGGCTGGCAGCCCAGCTCGTGGGCACTGGACCACCACCACCAGGGCTTCCGCAAGACTGCAGGGTACAGCAGGTAGTCAGTCCCTGGAGGAGGGCTCAGAAGTCAAGGATGGGCTGAAGCTCCAGTTCCCTTCCTGTACTCCTGCTTTGCAGAAGTATACCATTTGTATTGTGTATTATGGACAAGCAATGTTGACACTCTATAACTAACCAGATACAAAATAATGAAAAATCAACAGAGTCCACAGTCCAATTCTAACCATGCCATTGGGCTGCCGTTAGTTCTGAAGTCTGCAAATGTAATAGAGGAATTGATTTCTATCTATGTGTTACTCTTTTTTTCTTGGTAATTTCTTATAGTGATTTGTGAGAAAAATGATGTTCTGCTCCACCGCATTTTTGCTTCTTGCTATTGATTGCAGTCCCACAATGGAACACGGCGGATGCATTTCCTCCTGGTGTTTCCTGCTTCCATATTTCCTCCTTTCTAGTCCTTCTTGCCATCTCAACTTTGTCCTTGGCCAAGGCCGCCCTTCTGATCTCGAATGGTTGATTCATCTCCGGAGTGTGCACCTCCCTAGTGTGACTGCTATAGCTTCTATCTTTGGGCTGAAAACTGAACCCCTGGGTGAGGTGAGCTCCAGACCTGAAGAGTCCATACTATGGACCATAGACTGAGGGTTCCAAAAGTCTCCATCTGACCAATGAGCCTGGTCTCTCTCTTTTATTGTTTAAATTTTGCTGCCAGCACCTTCTATGATGAGCCCTTACACAGTGATAAATAGTGGCAGCTGGGCACCATCTAGTGCTTCTGGTCCCATGCTTGACTTTGGAGTCCAAATGGTGTGTCTGTGTGTTTTAATTGCTTCGGAAAGAATCTTGCCTGATGGCTGCACTCCTTTCTGCCAGGTACCTGCTGGAACAGGATTTCCCAGGCATGAGAATTGGACCCGAGCCCACCACGGACTCCTTCATTGCAGTGATGCAAGGAGAGGTGGAAGGGATCGTCCCTGGGAATGCTCTGGTGGTGGATCCTAAGAAGCCCTTTAGGAAACTCAACGCCTTTGGTAATGCCTTCTTGAACAGGTGAGTGCAGTGGGAACACCTCCGGAGTGTTCTCATTTCTTCTTCTTGGACTGTGGGAAGTGAACGCATGCTGGAGCAGGGCAGGTCTGGGAAGCTTGGTGCATTTTCCCATACCTAGTGTCTCTTTGGATTGTCCCGTTCTTATTGGGAACTGGACTGTGTCAGTCATCATTGATTAGGGACATGGGAGCTGCAAATGCTGGGTTAAGTTCTGATCAAGGAACAGGGGGGAAGTGAAATGACGGGTTGGATCACATTCCCTGATCCACACTCTCCTCTTCCAATGAAAGTGGTGGGGGGGGGCGTGGAGGGTGTGGGGGGGTTGCTACATAGTTCCAAGCATTTGCTTGTATTGTGGCTGGGCTTTACACCAGACTGGAAGGAGGTAGCACAGTGGGATATTGGTCTGCTACCTGCAGACTCGGCAGTTCAGATCCACCAGCCATTCCACAGGGAAAAGCTGAGTCTGTCTGCTTCCTTGTTTGTAGCTTTGGAAGCCCTACGGAGCAGTTCTACTCTGTCATTTGGGGTTGCTACCAGTCGGAGCCAACAGGACAGCCGTGCATTTGGTGTGCGTTTGGAAGGAAGTGGAGCAAGACTCTTCCCTTTTTCTGGGAATGGCTTTTACTTCATGGAAAGAACCTTGGCCTTAAATACAGAAGCCCTGGGGTTGAGCATTGCTTTTCCAACTAAACTCATTGTGTCCCCTCCCCAGGGATACATGGAAGCCTGCAGACTTCATGGGTCATCATGAAGATTAGAGTAAGGGCTCAAGTAAAAAGACGATATTTTGAGAATGATGATGGTGACATTGTACAAAGGGCGCTTGACACAATGGATGGGTGTGTGGATTATGATAAGAGCTGTATGAGCCCCCAATAAAATGATTAAAAATGTAAAAAAAGATTAGAGAATGCTCTAGAGATTAACCGGCAGGCTGATCTAGGCCTTCACATAATTATTCTGGATAACTGGACTTTGGGTTGATCTTCCAATTGTGTTTATTATACTTATAGGTGCACAATGTGTATTTATTTCCTCTATTTGGAGATATTCAGATTTGAGGTACAGCATAGACTTGGGCTTCAGAGAGACCTGGGTTCTCAAATTCTGCCTCTCCTCGCAAGCTCACTGCCATCAAGCCAATTCCAACTCAGAGCTTCATGAACCTAGGGGTGTCGTGGTTATGTGTCGGGCTGCTAACTGCAAGGTCATCAGTTCAACACCACACGCTGCTCCTTGGGAGAAAGACAACACTTTCTACTCCTATAAAGAGTTACTATCTCAGAAACCCACAGGGAAAATTCTACCCTGATCTATAGGGTTATTATTCTGCCTCTAGCACCAGAGATATTGGATGGTCCCTAGAGTCTCTGCATCTCACATTATCCATCTATAAAACAGGATAATAGTGATGCCCTCTTCCAGTCAAGTGAAGAGAATTAGTAACATAATGGACCGGTCAGGTCATTTCTGACTCATACTGACCCTGTCGGACATAGTAGAGCTGTCCCTTTGGGTTTCCAAGGCTGTAAATCTTTCAGGAAGCAGAAAGCCTCATCTTCCTCCCTCAGAGCAGCTGATGGTTTCTAACCAAAGACCTGTGGTTCGCAAAGCAACAAGCAAGCTCCTGCACCACCAGGATTCCTGGGAAGCATTTAGTGTCTGCCCTGCAGATACCAAATGGCAAGTGTTAAAGCAGTAGGAACATGTTACTACCCTTTAAATAGGCATCCACTATTATCACTTTTGAAGGAGCGCTGGTAGTGTAGTGGTTATGCTTTGGACTGCTAGCCACAAGGTTAGCAGTTTGAAGCCACCCGTTGTTCTGCAGGAGAAAGACAGGGCTTTCTACTCTCATCAAGAGTTACAGTCACAAAAACTCACAGAGGCATTTCCACCCTGCCCTATAGGATCACTCTGAGTCAGCATCCACTAGATAGCAATGAGTTTCAAGCATTGCTACTTTTGAGATGTAAAAATTCAGGCTCATTAGCCATGTGACTCTCAAAATCTTATACCCTGAACAACACTTAAAAAATAAGACTGTAAACTTATCTCTGCCCTTTCCTGGGATGGTTTGACCTCCACATCTCTCTCTGACGCAGCAGGAAGGAGCATGTGAATAAAGTGGGTCATGGTGAGTGCTCAGGGTGGGCTCCCAGAACTGTGGTGGGAAGGCCAGGTTGGGACATTGGGACATTGGCCTGGCAGGTAGGGAAGTCCGCAAGCCTTTGATTGTAATAGTCAGGCAACAGAACTGTGAACTTGGATACGAAGATCAAGGTGATGATGGTAAGGCTCAGTGAGACAGAAGGTTCTAGACTCCAATGGTGTCTGTCGTACCTGGAGCTGAGTGAGGTGGCCCTGGACCAGGGTAGTAAGAAAGGCATGGGCCCAAGATGCAAAAGGTCAGACAGGGGTTGGGGAGGGGCGGCAGGAGCATAAGTATGAACAGTGAGTCAGCATTGGTGCACAGAGGGAGGGGCAGGCGGGGAGCAGGGGCGGGGAGCGTTTGCAGTGGAGTTAGCACCTGGAGCTGAGGAGCAGAATCCTATCAGAAAGCAGAGGGGAGAAAAGCCTGGAGTCTAATTGGGATCACTGGGAGATAGGAATGCTGGCAAACCCCACTGGGGAGCAATCGTGCCATAATGACTCTACTAGTAGTACGTACTATACATTATATGTAAGAGCATGTCGTCTATTCGGAAAACAGACGCTGTGCCACCGTCATCAGATGCTCGGTGCATTCCTGAGAGCTCGGGGACTTTATATCATGAATCAACTGCAGCAAGTCTTGCCAACTCCATTTTTCAATGTGCTGAAACCTGGAGGGCTGTGTGTGTGTGTGCTGTGTATGTGCGTACGCGTGCGTGTGTGCACAAGAGGTGGAGTGGTTTACTGTGGGTAATAACACTAAACTGCTTTGAATCTTCTTATCCTCACCTAGACATTGTGTCATTTCCATGCTCTCATTTCCTCATGCAAATGTGTGCAGAGACTCCGAGAGCAAGAGGGAGCGTGGTCGTTACCTGTCATTGCACGCAGTGCTCACGTTCAAGGGGAGAGGTACGGGGGAGCAAAGGAGACTGTAATATTTGATTGGGCGCCTTGCTAAACAAGTTGTTCTTCCTGCTGTGCGTATACATTTCTTTTACCGACAATAAAAATCACCTTTACATTAACTATGTACGAAGGTGTTACGAAACCATCTGGACCCGCTCTTGACAAGAGTGATTTCAGTGGGGAACATGTTTAGCCTGGTGAAACTGGCTCCGGCCTGCTTCTGCATCTCCAGAATGACCTGGCTCAAGGCCTGGGCCGGAGAGATGGCCTTTGATGAGAAAAAGAAACAGGGCTGCCACGGAGGGCTTCTTCCCGGGTCGGCCTCCCAGGTGGCTTCTCGTTGGATTTCAGCAGACAAGAAGTTCCTGCTGGTGTGCACTCCGCTCGGCAGAGGAATGTAAACCTGAGCCCAGGCCACAAAGAGAGCCGGCGATAGCGCAGGCCAACGGGGCTAGTGGTAGGGCTAACGGCCTACCGCCAGCTAAGGGTACATTCCAGGCAGGTATGCAGGGAGGATGGAATGACTGTGGCCTAGAATACAGACACCACAGACACCGTATGACCCGAGCCTGGATGACATGGGAAGGGTTTGTGATTTCTCTCCAGGGCGCTCAGCAATGAGAAGACAGTGTAGATTACCTGCTGACCGGAGGAGTGTGCTGGACAGGTAGGCAGGTGTGTTGGGCAGTAGGAGCAGGGTGGAAGCCCTCTCCCCTTTGTGCCCGGCCCCCCTGCAGTCTTGGAGAAAGGGCTGCTGCATCACCGACTTCTGGTTTCTCAGCTGAGTGTGGCGGAGCGGTCCTGAAGCTCCCCACTCCTCTGTTGTTCTCCCTCGCCCTTCCCAATCAGCCCAGACCCCCTTGTTTGGAGCAGGTGACCCTGCTTCCTACTGGGGAGAAGACGGACTGCCATGATGCCACCCATGCTTTTAAAAAACCAGACCAAACTCACAACCAGAGAGTCTGTGCCACCTCACCGTGACCCTATCGGATAGGGTCGAACTGCCCCCTGTGAGCTTCTCAGACTGTAACTCTTTATGGGAGCAGTAAGCCCCCCTCTTTCTCCTGTAGAGCGACTGGTGGTTTCGAACTGCTGACCTTGAGGGTCGAAGCCCAAGGTGTAACCACTATGCCACCACGGCGTCTTATGTTTTTTTAAAAGCTGGGCACACGCTTAGTCCCTTTACGTTTGTCTTCCCTTCCTCCCCACAAGTGTGGGCAGGATGCCGCCGCTTTGACCTCAGGCTAAATGCCTTTTACCTGGACGGGCCAGGCTTCAGGTGCATCGGCGATCCCGTCTCCTGGACACCGAGACATGTCTCCTAAAAACTCTTCAATGGTTCCTCCTGTCACTCTCTCCTGTTTTCCTCTCTCAGCCGTACCCCGACTTCCCGAGCTCACTTCTTCCTGCCCCCCACCTGTGACAACACAGTTTTCGCCCATCACAGTTGCCCTTGCCACAGCCATTCAGGACCTCCCAGTTATCAAAGCAGCGGGCACTTTTCATCCGCCACTTACCCAACGTGCTTGGCACTTGCCACTATCCATGCCATCTCCTCTCATCTCCCTGCCTCTCTGACTTCCTCCCTCCCTCCCTTCCTTCCGCCCTTTCAGGCCACTTCTGTTTATTTCCTTTTCCTCTGGCTCCTGCGGTCTTACTGTCGCCCACCATCAGACTCATTCTCTGTCCTTGCCCTTTCCCACGGCCTACACACAGCAGGATGCTGAGCCAGCCTCAGCCAGGGCTCCAAACACAGGCCGCATGCACTTCACCACCTTGATGTGCCAACCGGCAGAAACTCGGCTCAAGCCACACCGTGGAACTGATGTTAGAACACTGGCCGCATCGCCAAATCCAAGTGCTAGAATGTGGCCACGCCTGAGACGGAACCGAAAACACATGCTTGCGTAGGACGAGGACACCTAGCAGGCTCTCCACAAATATTTGTTGAACGGAACTGGACGCCCTGCCAACTGGAGGGTGTTTCTAACGGTCATCTGTGATTCCGTCATTCTCTCGCAGAGCTTCTACCGCCCTCGAGATAAGATCCAGATTTTTCCATGTCATTTGCAAGGCCCTTGGGCTCTGGCCTCCACCTACCTTGGTCCCTCCAGTTTCCCATTTCTCACCTCAGTGACGTGGCGGTGTTTGTTCATTACCAGAGCTAAAATTATGGACACCCAATTTGCAGAAGGCTATGGAGGACAGTGGGAGCCCCAAACCCATCTGCAGAGGAACTAGTTAGAGCAGTGGTTCTCAACCTTCCTAATGCCGCCACCCTTTAATACAGTTCCTCATGTTGTGGTGACCCCCCACCCACCATAAAATTATTTTCATTGCTACTTCATAACTGTCATTTTGCTACTGTGATGAATCATCATGTAAATATCTGATATGAAGTATGTATTTTCATTGTTACAAATTGAACATAATTAAGGCATAGCGATTAATCACAAAAACTATGTAGTTATGTATATATTGTGAAATATTTATATCTAATTACAAATAAATGAAATTTTGCCTCCAAGCCTGGTGTAGCATGGGTAACAGTCTTCACACCGGGTACTGATACGTGGGCATATCTGCATGTGGGCGGACCCGCCTAGAGACGGATAGAGAAGTAGTGTCTCGGTTCCTAAGACTACCGGAAATATGTTTTCCAATGGTCTTAGGCAACCCCTGTGAAAGGATCAGTTGACCCCCAAAGGGGGTGTGACCCACAGGTTGAGAACCGCTGAGTTAGATGAAGCCACTGGCAGACTCCCACTAGCCACAGGCAAGGGTCTCAAACAGCCTTACCATCAGACAGCGATCATTGTCATCTTGATTATGCTGGATCGAACTTGATACTTGGTCTGTCGAGCTCCCTGTTGACCTGACCTGAATGAGTTCTCGGTGCAGGGACCTCTGGAGTGCTCCAGGACAGACGTTTCTTCCCTGGCTTCTTAAACATTGAGGGTGGTCTTCTTTCTTACCCATTATTTGTATGTTCATCTTTATATTAGTATCATTTTACCCTCACCACTTTATTTCTATTTTGTTTTTCATGGTTTCTATTGGGTTTCCCAGTTTGGGAAGCACAGAAGGAGTGGCTGCAGAGAGATAACAATGGATGCAAGGCTGATAGATGCAGGGGTCGGGGTGGGAGAGAGGGGAGGGGAGGGGATTTCAGGAAGGGGGAGGGAGCTCTAGAACTGATTACACAACTCATTTGAAGGTGATTTAACCATGGGGGGAAGGGATGTTCAACAATTGATTGTGGTAATGGTTGTACAATGCTTCTTGATATGATTAAATGCCTGAAACATTGAATTATATGATATGTGGATTAGGTGCCAATTGAAATGTGAAGAAAAGAGAAAGAAACGACAAGACTTGAAGTAAGGAGAAGGAGAAGCTGAGTTAGGCTCACCAACTTGTCTTTTGAGATGCTGGCATGGAGAACTAGCAGTATTTCCTTGAATAAAACTTGGTTATCATATCATCACAGTGGTGTCTGCATAGGCCTTTGGGGACATAGGTTGTGCTTGGCTATTAACCTAAAGGTTGGTTGTTCAAACCCAGTGCTGTGAAAGAAAGGCCTGGTGATCTGCTTCCATAACGATTCACAGCCAAGAAAACCCGATGGAGCAGGTCTACACTGTAACAAACAGGATAGGCATGAGTTGGAATCAAGTCCGCATCAATGCATTTACATGGCCAATATATATCCCTGGGTGGTGTGACCAGCTACAGGGACCCCTCCTCCAGAAAGCCAGCCCTGAAAGCCATCTCCCTTCCCTGGATCCCCCCAGGCCCCCCACATGATCTCCCTCATGTGATGCACCTGCTATTGGAGTTGCCTAAGTAACATGCCTTCTCTCCTCGGCAAGACCGTGTGCTGCTGGGGAGCGGAGACCAGGGTCTGGAGAGCCTGGTGTCACCTCCCAAGCATAGGGACCCTGTCTGCCCCAGAATACCCCAGGGATCTGCTTCTACGTCCATACTCCCAGGGCCCATTGCTGCAGATGCGTCTGACGGGGGCCTGGGCATCTGCATTGTCATCTAGAAAGGCTTGTGCTCAGCATCTGCTCCATGGTGCTCAGCATCTTGCACAGAGTAGAATTTCAGTAACTCTTCATTGAACAACTCCCCATCTGCCAATGGAGAAGCGCGGCGACTTTGCCCAAGGTCACCAGCCATTGTGGAATTCCCACATCTGCCTCTGTGTGTGCTCTTGGTTTAGGGGGAGAACCTAGATGTTCTCCCAAAGACCCAGGAAAAGCAAGAGTCTGGAGTCTTCTCCATGGCTGTCTAAAGAAGCTCAGTCTCAGAGTGGAGGTCAAGTTAACTAGTGGCTCAAGACAGAGAGGTAGCTGGTGAAGGGCAGCGAATGACTTGGACTACAGGAATCCAACCGAAGCCGTGGTCACACATGTGGGACAGGTTGATATAGAGTTGTCTTATAGGTCAATAAGCACTTTACTAAACACCCCGAGGGCATTCTGGGGTGTAATGTGTTAGGGATACAAGAGACCTGGGGGCCCCACCTCTGGATGGGCTATAAGCCTCATTCCAGGGCTGAGTGGACCCGCAGTGAACTGAAACACTTCCACAAACAAGGAATGGCTCAACTAGGAGAGAGAGAGACGGAGCTGGACATGTGGGAGGGCGCCAGGGAAGGCTGGCGAGTAGAGGAAATGAGGTGTATGCGCGATGCCCAAAGGGCAGGGGCTCATCTCAGGGTCCCCTCTCCACCTGTGCAGGTTTGTGTGTGCCCAGCTGCCCAACCCTGTGCTGGAGAGCATCAGCGTCATCGATACGCCCGGGATCCTCTCCGGGGAGAAGCAGAGGATCAGCCGTGGTGAGTACGTAAGGCCTGGTGGGTGTCCAGCCTGCGCTCCGTGGTATGTTCTGGTATGTTCGCTCCTCGCCACAGCAGCGAAAGGCACTGAGACCTTACCGTCTCTTGAAGGGCTAGCACTGTCTCATGTGCTGTATGGGGCAGTCCTAGGCAGGGGCCAGTGGTGAGTCATAGCTCATTGTAGCTTAGGAGACAGGAATCAACGGTCCTGTCCCGTGAATTGGAAAGAACTCCCTAGTGGCAGGATTGGGGGGGTTGGTTGGGTACATGGGAGGTAAACCTGGGAAGACGAGGGTCAAGAAAGGAACTGAGTCCAGAGGGAATTAGGAAACTGTTGACAGTTCTTGCCATTGATGGCCCCTGTGAAGGGGTCCCTGGGGACCCAGGGCCCACCAGGTCCCTGTATGTGGGCTGTGTGGTGGAGGGTG